CCACGGATCATAGAGTTGCAAAGGAGAATTGGCTGGGGAATTCTTGGCCAAGGTTGACAAATACTCTCTTCAAGCAGCAACAGCTTGAAGATGAAAGGTGTGCGTCAATTCTAAGCAAAGGTGTGGCTGGCCAACATTAGCACCAAACCAACGTGTTTTCTTCGTTCAAATGCTACAGGAAATCGCTCAGGGTTGGGCCCTATTTGCACCCTAACCACAGCCCCAGTATGTCCTCTAAACATCCTTCTTTGGCTATAACCCCACAAAGTTGTTGAGACTTTGGAAAGAGTGCAGAGAAGGGCAACTAAGATGATTAAAGGCCTGGAGATAAAAAAAACAAAACATATGAAGAACAGTTGCAGGAACCGGACATGGCCAGTCTAGAGAAAAGAAGGACTAGGGTTGATATGAGAGTAGCATTCCAGTATGTGAGGGGCTGCCACAAATAAGAGGGGGTCAACTTATTTTCCAAAGCACCTGAAGGCAAGGCAAGAAGCAATGGATGGAACTAATCAAGAAGCAACCTGCTCCATCACTGGAGGTTTTCAAGAAGAGACTGGGTAGCTACTGGTCTGAAATGGTATGAGAAGGGACTAGAAAACCTATATGAGCCAATAGTATGCAGTGGCAGCCAAAAAAGCCAATGCAATCCTAAATTGCATTAACAGAGGGATACAATCAAGATCAAGGGAGGTACTAATACCACTCTATAAAGCGTTAGTAGGACCATACCTAGTACTGCCTCCAGTTTTGTTCACCACGCTATAAAAAAGATGTTGAGAGTCTAGAAAAAGTACAGAGAAGAGCAACTAGGATGATTAGGGGACTGGAGGCTAAAACATATGAAGAACGGTTGCAGGAACTGGACTTGGCTAGTCTAGTGAAGAGAAGGACCATGGGAGACATGACAGCGGCCTTCCAATATTTGAGGAGGGGCTGCCACAGAGAGGAGGGGGTCAAGCTATTTTCCAAGGCACCCGAAGGCCAGACAAGGAATAATGGATGGAAACTGAACACGGAGAGATTTAACCTGGAAATAAGGAGAAACTTTCTGACAGGGAGACCAATCAACCCATGGAACAGAAGTTGCCCTCGGAAGTTGTGGGAGCGCCATCAGTTGAGACTTTCAAGAAGAGACTGGGCTGCCATTTGTCAGAAATGGTGTAGGGTCTCCCGCTTGGGTGGGGGGTTGGAGAGGCCAGACAAGAAATAATGGATGGAAACTGAACAAGGAGAGATTTAACCTGGAAATAAGAAGAATTTTTGCGGTTGTAAGTCGAGGACTACCTATAACTGAAGTAATGAAAGAACACCTTCCCCATAATTTAGCTGAGGGTTCGGATTAGGGAAGCAGGCCTCCAGTTTGCACCAATTTTGCAATCCTTTTCTAGAACCTGCCGCTTTGCAGACAGCCCCCTCTAACCGTCCATAGCAGGAAACGTTACCTGGGAAAGTGGGGAAATAGGCAGCCAGATCCGAGGTGAGGATTTTCTCCTCCAGGATGTCCACTTTGTTCAGGAAGAGAATAATGGAGGTGTTCCAGAACCAGGGCAGCTCCAGAATTGTCCTGAAGAGATCTAAACTCTCCCTCATTCGGTTCTGATAGGAAAGAGCGGGGGGGGATGAGGGGGGAAAAAAAGAAGGAAAAAAATGCATCAAGAATGAGCACACAGTAGGGTTTAGGAAGTTTTTTTTCTGGAGGCCTTTTCTGCAGACATCGGTTTGCCCAGCGAGACAACCGAGGGACGTTTCAGTGGATCAGAGGGCCAGAAAATAATATGTATAAATTCTGACAGAAAATAATATGTGTAGCTCAGGGTTGAACTGTGCGGTCCTTGGTATTCTCTGAGGTTGTTGGTTTTCTTGCAGACATCTCATGACCCAACTAGGTAACATCATCAGTGTTAGAAGGGAGTGAGTTTTGCAGAGTGGTGGAGAAGAAGCGGGGGGTGGGTGGGAAGGAGGAGGAATGGGGAAAGGACTATGCGGTCCTTGGTACAGCTTGGCTGTTTGGTTATTTTCTTGCAGACATTTCATTACCAAACCAGATAATATCATCAGTGCTAGAAGGGAGTAAGGTTTGGGGAGGAGGAGGAGGAGGAGGAGGAGGAGGAAGACGACTATGGGGTCCTTGGTGCAGCTTGGGTGTTTCCTTGTAGACATTTCATTACCAAACTAGGTAACATCATCAGTGATAGAAGGGAATGAGGTTTGTGGAGTGGTGGAGAAGAAGGGGAGAAAAAGGGAAGGAGGAAGAGGAAGAGGTGGGGTCCTTGGTGTTCTCTGAGTTTGGTTGTTTCTTTGCATAAGTTCCATTACCCAACTAGGTAACATCATCAGTGCTAGAAGGGAGTGGTATACTTGTACATAAACTGAGAGCTACAAGCGCTTAGCGTATATACAAGTGGCTTGCTCTGGCTTACCACTGACAGGCGAGTCACTTCTATAAAACAGAGAGTAAAACCCGCTTAATTTTAGCACTGATGATGTTACCTAGTTGGGTAATGAAACGTCTGTAAGAAAACCATCAAGCTCAGCGAGCATCAAGGACCCCTCATATAAATTCCCAATATATACAATGCACACACACACACACAATACTCATAATGTAGACATACATAATCCTCTCCCTTAATTGTCCCTCTATTCCTCCAAATATTCCTGTCTCAACACTGCTCCTTACTTCGGTATTATTCTCCTCCAGCGACTGGTCATACTCGCTCAGAGAGGCCAAATAGATTAAGGCAATCACGTTTTCGAAACAGTGGATCCACTTCCGGCGTTCGGTTTTCTGCCCGCCAACATCAACGATCCTAAAAAAAATAGAAATGAAAAATATATATATATATAGATAATCCTCTACTTCTTACTTAGACGAATCTTGGCTCAAAAAAAAGCGACTGTGAGAGGGACCTTGGAGTCTTAGGGGACTATCACTTAAACATGAGCCAGCCGTGTGTGGTGGCACCCAAAAAAGCGAATACAATCCTTGTTTGCATAAAACAGAGGAACAGAATCAAAAATCGCATGAAGTATTAGCACCACTTTATAAATCCTTAGTAAGTCCACCCTTAGAATATTGCATCCAGTTTTGGTCACCACGTTGCAAAAAAGACAGTGAGACTTTGGCAAAACTAAGATGATTCAAGGTCTGGAGAATAAAACATAAGGAGAACAAACAGTTGCAGGATTTGGGTATGGTGAAACTAGAGGAAAGGAGTAGGGGGGACATGATAGTAGTATTGCAATATTTGAGGGGCTGCCACAAAGAGGAAAGGAGTCAAATTATTGTCCAATGTCGCCACATTACACAATGACACAAAGCCTCTCAAAATATGACTGATATTTAATCTCTCAATTCTGATTATGGCCCCTTTACAACCTATGGACTTCAACTCCCAGAATTCCAATGCTGGCTCAGGAATTCTGGGAATTGAAGTCCACAGGTCCGGAAGGGACTACAGGTAGTTCTCAATTTACGACCACAAATGAGCCCAAATTTGATGTTGTTAAGCGAGAAAGTTGTGGGGTTTTCCCCATTTTACGACTTTTCTTGCTACATTTGTGAAGTGAATCACTGCGGTTGTTAAATTAGTAACATGGTTTTTAAGCGAATCTGGTTTCCACCCCTGTTGGCCAGAAGGGGAAATCACGCGACCCTGAGACACGGCAGGCATCATAAATGTGAGTCATTTTATTCTATGGATGGTTAGAAAGTAGAGTAAGAAACTGAAGGATATGGTAATAATAATGATACTGTATAATTGATTATTTTTCAATAAATTACAACATGAATATAATTTAGTATAGGTGGAATTTGCCTTTAAGGATAGTTTGAAACTGAAATAAAAAAATCCAATGACAATGTAACAATGATACATAATGTTGACTAGAATATAATGTGAATGTAAACTCAAAGAGAGATGTATGCAAATATTAATATGTGCACAAGATATACGTACCCGGATGACACACTGCTATATCTGAAAGATGGTTTTTATTTGTTATTTTTGTTGTAAAAATAATAAATAATGAATGAATGAATGAACGAACGAACAAACAAACAAACAAACATGAGTTTACGGGGTTGCTACAACGGTCGTAAGTGTGAAAAACAGTCATAAGTCATTTTTTTTTCAGTGATGTTGTAACAGTGATGGTCACTAAATGAACTGCTGTAAGTTGAGGACAAACCTGAATAGCTACCAATCCCGATTATATCTTTGTTTTAAGGAATCCAATATGAAACATACTGTAAGCACTTGGGATGAATGGTTTTTTTTTTCCAGTTTACCTTAACGTCACCTTTTGCATCGAGAAGCAGTACTCGTTAATGCCCGTTGTGGGCACACGGGTTCTCAAGATATCCTGGGCACTTGGCACATACCCCTCAGAAGCAATGCGATCCAGATTCGAAAGGAAGCTGAAACAGAGAGACACCTGTCACTCTGGACAATGCACTGACAGAGTAACTCAAAATTAATGCACACACTTCTCTAGCACAGTGCCTTCCGAACTTGGCAACTGTAAGATAGGTGGACTTCAATTCCCAGAATTCCCCAGCCTGCATTTGTAGACCAATTCCCAGAATTACCCAGCCAGCCTGAAATTTGGGAAAGTTGTGTCAGCTTCAGTGCTACTGGCCACAGCTGTGCTGCTATGATATTGCTGTGGTTACTAGAATAGAATAGAATAGAATAGAATAGAATAGAATAGAATAGAATAGAATAGAATAGAATAGAATAGAATAGAATAGAATAGAATAGAATAGAATTCTTTATTGGCCAAGTGTGATTGGACACACAAGGAATTTGTCTTGGTGCAAATGCTCTCAGTGTACATAAAAAAAGATACATTCGTCAAGAGTCATAAGGTACAACACTTAATGATAGTCATAGGGTACAATAAGCAATCAAATCATACTAGGAAACAGTCCATATAAATCGTAAGGATACAAATGACAATGTTACAGTCATACAGTCACAAGTGGGAGGGGATGGGCGATAAGGAGTGATAAGAAGATTAATAGTAGTAGTAGTGCAGACTTTGTAAATAGTTGGACAGTGTTGAGGGAATTATTTGTTTAACAGAGTGATGGTGTTTGGGGAAAAAATGTCCTTGTGTCTAGTTGCTCTGGTGTGCAGTGTTCTATAGCGTCGTTTTGAGGGAAGGAGTTGAAACAGTTTATGTCCAGGATATGAGGGGTCTGTAAATATTTCCACAGTCCTCTTTTTGACTCATGCAGTATACAGGTCCTTGATGGAAGGGAGGTTGGTAGTAATTGTTTTTTCTGCAGTCCTAATTATCCTCTGAACTTTGTTTTCCACATTTGGTGACAGTTTCCAAGCCTGTCTAGTAATCCTTCACTCCTTTCCCCCATCCAGGAGCAGCCACTTACTCCTGGGGGAGAGGGAGGGAAGGAGGGAGGAGTGGCAGAGACAGAGATAAAGACAGAGAGACATATTATGGTAGGGATGGATGGGAAGGGAAGGGAAGGGAAGGGAAAATTTCCAATATTCCTTGCCAGATTCCCACAGGGAAAGTCAATGGGGAAGCCAGCAGGAAGTCGGAAATACCACTGCTTTTTTTCCCTGCCTGAAGTCATTCTGTTTCTCTGTTTAGGTTAGCTGAAATATCTCTGAAATGATGACCCAAATGACACAGGTTGCTGGCCACATGACCATGGAAATGTTTTTGGACAACGCTGGCTCCCTCAGCTAAGAAACCGAGATGATTACAGCCCCTAGCCTAGAGCCAGACATGACTGGACAGGAGAAATATTTAACGTGCATCCACCGTCCACTCAGGAAGCATACAAATCTTTACACCACTACGGTGCCAAGAGGTCATGACATAGAATAACAGAGTTGGAAGGGACCTTAGAGGTTACCTAGTCCAACCCCCTGCTCGAGCAGGAGAATCTAGCCTCTACCTAGGATCGAACTCACAGTCTCCTGATTGTGAGGTGAGAGTTCCACCTCTAGGCCACCACACTGGACCAAAAACAGTTTGTAGGGTCTTGGACCCTCCTCGCAACTCTACATTCGACCACCAACCCAAGGTAAGAACACCCGATGGTCGCTCCAAAACAAAGCGTGAACCGGATTAAAAGGGACTCACTAGGACGTCGAATCGAGCAGGTGGAATTTGCTTCTCTTCTTATAACAGGTCCTGATGCCGGCATCCTTCCAGAGGCCACCAATGATCCTGGCATTGTGGGGGTCCAGGGAGACCACTTTATAGGCATCTATGCTCAGGAGCTGCCGGGCGTTTTGCTAGAGACAGAAAATAATGGTTTTCTGAGGCATATGAAGAGCGGTCGGAGGAATCAGGTACGCCTAGTCTAGGGAGAAGAAGGACTAAGGGTGACATGAGAGCAGCCTCCCAATATTTGAGGGGCTGCCCCAAAGAAGAGGGAGTCAAGCTATTCTCCAAAGCCCCTGAAGGCAGGACAAGAAGCAATAAGGATGGAAGGTCATTAAAGAGAGAAGCAACCTAGAATTAAGGAGAGATTTCCTGACAGGGAGGACAATCAACCCGCGGAACTTCAGAAGTTGTGGGAGCTTCATCACTGGAGGCTTTTAAGAAGAGGCTGAACAGCCATTTGTCTGAAATGGTGTAGGGTTAGGGGTGTCCAACTCAAGGCCCGGGAGCCGGATCCTCAGGGGTGGCCTTCAAAAATGTTAGCAAAGGGTTCTCTGCCCGGTTGCTGGGTGGGCGTGGCCATGGTTGGCGTGGCCTAGTAGACCTCCTGCACCACGGTGGGATGGGGGGGCATTTTTGCTCTCCCCAGGCTCCGGAGGCTCCGTAGTATTGCAATATTTGAGGGGCTGCCACAAAGAGGAGAGGAGTCAAATTATTGTCCAATGTTGCCACATTACACAATGACAAAAAAGCCTCTCAAAATAGGACTGATATTTAACCTCTCGATTCTGATTATGGCCCCTTTACAACCTATGGACTTCAACTCCCAGAATTCCTGAGCCAGCAATGCTGGCTCGGGAATTCTGGGAATTGAAGTCCACGGGTCCTGAAGGGACTACAGGTAGTTCTCAACTTACGACCACAAATGAGCCCAAATTTGATGTTGTTAAGCGAGAAAGTTGTGGGGTTTTCCCCCATTTTACGACTTTTCTTGCTACATTTGTGAAGTGAATCGCTGCGGTTGTTAAATCAGTAACGTGGTTGTTAAGTGAATCTGGTTTCCACCCCTTGCTGGCCAGAAGGAGAAATCACCCGACCCTGAGACACGGCAGCCATCATAAATGTGAGTCATTTTATTCTATGGATGGTTATAAAGTAGAGTAAGAAAGCCTCAAGCCTCCAGGAGGACAAAACCAGGCACCCCGGGCTCCGGAGGCCGTCTGGAAGCTGAAAACGGGCCCATTTCCGGCCTTCCCAAACTTCCAGGAAGCCCATTTTTTGCCCTTCCTGAGCCTCCGTGCGGGCCCTGCACTTACCTGCATCCGAAAGGGGCTGTGTGGGGACTCCTGGGAGGTGTGGGGCAGGGTGGGTAGGGCCAGCCAGGAGTGGGATTTGGGGGGTTTTCTGAACTGCACAGAATCTTAGCTAGGGGCTCTCCTGAACCCCTGCGAACGTTCAGCAGCTCAGCCCTGTGGATCTGGCCCGCATGGCCACCCTGGAAACAGTGAACGACCAGCCTGCGGTGCCACTGCCGGTGAAAATGGAGCCCGGGAGGGCCTCATGCAGCCGCAAACGGAACCCGGGAGTCCATTTTTACCGGCGGAGTGCTTGTGCCGCCAAAAGGCGCCTCCAACACAATGATGTCGAACTGGCCATGCCCCCCTCCCCCTCCTCCCAAGGTCAAACACAACCCTGATGCAGCCCTCGATGAAACCGAAACCTTGACACCCTTGGTATAGGGCCGTGATGGTGAACCTATGGCACGCGTGCTACAGGTGGCACGCAGAGCCATTTGTGCTGGCTTGCGAGCTGCAGATAAACTGACCACACTGGGCAATGCGCGTGCCTCACAGCTGATTTTCGGCCGATTTGAGGCCTTTTTCGGCTTCCCAAAGGTTTGAGGAAGGCTTGCAGGCCAAAAACTAAGCCCGTTTCGTCACTTCCAGTATTTGTGGAAAAACAGGAAGTGATGAAACGGGACTAGATTTTTGGCCTACAAAGCTTGTAGAAGCCTTCCTCGAGCTTTTGGGAGGCCGAAAAAGGCCTCAAACCGGCGGCAGGGTGGGTGGGTGGGATTGCATGCGCATGCATAGGGGACATGGCGGGGGGGGCACATTGCCTTCTGGGTGCTGGCACGTGAGCCAGAGAGTGCAAGCGCATGCGCAATTTTTGGCACAGGAGCCCCAAAAGGTTAGCCATCACTGGTATAGGCCCCCTTGCTCAAGCAGGGGGGTTGGACTAGAAGGCCTCTAAGGCCCCTTCCAACTCTGTGACTCTGTTTCAGAGCAGAGTGGAAAACGTTGGGTAGGAACATTCTAGAAGCCTAGTCAGAGGAGGCCCCTTTCGTGAATGCTGCCCACTGAATGACAGAGATCCTGGAGGTGTGAAGTGATTTCAGGGCAAGCTGTGGTCTATTTGTCATTAATAACCAATGCAGACTTGTGGAACTTCAACTCCCAGCCCAGGAATTCTGGGAATTGAAGTCCAGAGGTCGTAAAAGGGCCATAGTTCTCTCCCCACGTCCCCGCTGCTCTAAAGCAAACTAATGATGGAGCCCAGGCACAATTCAGCCCAACATCTCTGTTCCTAAACAAGACCATTGCTACGTGTGTTTTCCCCCATCTGATGACCTTTTTGCCACAGCTGTTTAAGCAAAGGTTGTTAAGTGAATCATGAGGCCGTGAAGCAAATCTGGCTTCCCCCATAGACTTCGCTTGTCAGAAGCTTGCAACTGGTAATCACTTGACCCCGGGGACAGTGCAACCATCATAAATACACACGCCAGTTGCCATGCTCAATAGCAGGAACCGTGAGAGGGATCTTGGAGTCTTAGTGGACAACCAGCTAAATAGGAGCCAGCAGTGTGCAGCAGCCATCAAAAAAGCTAATGCAATCCTAAGTTGCTTTAACAGGGGGATACAATCGAGATCAAGTGAGGTACTAATACCACTCTATAAAGCCTTAGTAAGACCACACCTAGTTTTGGTCACCACACTATAAAAAAGATGTTGAGACTCTAGAAAAAGTACAGAGAAGAGCAACCAGGAGGATTAGGGGACTGGAAGCTAAAACATACAACAAATGGTTGCAGGAACTGGGCCTGGCTAGTCCAGGGAAGAGAAGGACCAGGGGAGACAGGATAGCAGCCTTCCAATATTTGAGAAGCTGCCACAGAGAGTAGGGGGTCAAACTATTTTCTAAAGCACCTGTAGGCCAGACAAGGAATAATGGATGGAAACTGAACAAGGAGAGATTCAACCTGGAAATAAGGAGAAACTTTCTGACAGGGAGAACCATCAACCCATGGAACAGAAGTTGCCTTCGGAAGTTGTGGGAGTTTCATCCCTGGAGACTTTCAAGAAGAGATTGGACTCCCATCTGTCAGAAATGGTGTAGGCCAGGGTCTCCCGCTTGGGCGGGGGGTTGGACTAGATGACCTATAAGGTCCCTTCCAACTCTGATTATCTGCAATCTGTTATGGGTCCTAATTTTGATCACATGACTGTGGAGAATGCTGCTATGTGAAAACAGTTCATAAGTCCCTTTTTTCACTGTCGGCGTAAGTACAAACGGCTCCTATGCTGCTATGTGAAAACAGTTCATAAGTCCCTTTTTTCACTGCCGGCGTAAGTACAAACGGCCGCTGATTGTAATGGTTGTAATGTCAAGGATTGCCTCTATGTGGATACTCACTGCATTCTCCTCCTGGGCGTAAGGAATCTGCAGGCTCTCCATAGCTCTGATGATTGCCTGGATAGAGGTGAAGATGTTTTGATACACCACTTTCGCAAAGTCCTTCCGCTCGTCTTCCGTGAATCCCACTCCGTGGATAATCCTCATCTGTTTGATGAAGGTGCTTTTTCCACCTTCCCCAGTGCCTGATGGGTAATGCACAACACACACAAAAAAAACATTGATTTTCCAGTAGAACATCCGGGATGCAAGTCTAGCCAACTTAACAGGAATAACAAAGTTGGGAAGGGACCTTGGAGGTCTTCTAGTCCAACCCCGCTTGTACGGAAGCCTAGACGCTTCACATCCCGGACATAAAACTGTTTCAACTCCTACCCTCAAAATGACGCTATAGAGCACTGTACACCAGAACAACTAGACCAGAGGTGGCATTCAGCAGGTTCTGACCAGTTCTGGAGAACCGGTCGCGGAAATTTTGAGTAGATCGGAGAACTGGCAAATCCCACCTCTGACTGGAGATTTTACAGTCTCCTTCCCCTGCCACGCCCACCAAGCCACGCCCACAAAACAGGTAGTAAAAAAAATTGAATCCTACCACTGAACTGGACACAAGGACAGTTTTTCCCCCCAAAAGCCATCACTCTGCTAAACAAATAATTCCCTCAACACTGTCCAACTATTTACAAAGTCTGCACTACTACTACTATTAATCTTCTCATCACTCCTTATCCCCTCCCACTTGTGACTGTATGACTGTAACTTTGTCACTTGTATCCTTACAATCTATATTGGCTTTTTCCTAGTATGATTTGATTGCTTATTGTACCCTATGACTATTATTAAGTGTCGGACCTGATGATTCTTGATGCTTGATGAATGTATCTTTTCTTTTATGTACACTGAGAGCATTTGCACCAAGACAAATTCCTTATGTGTCTAATCACACTTGGCCAATAAAGAATTCTATAATTCTGTTAGATGCTGTGGCATTGTCCTGACCAATCTCCTTATCACTCACAGCACCTGAAGGCAGGACAAGAAACAAAGGATGGAAACTAATCAAGGAGAAAAGCAACCTAAAACTAAGGAGGAATTTCCTGACAGAACAATTCATCAGTAGAACGATTTTCTTCTAGAAGTTGTGGGTGCGCCAACCAACAGTGGAGGTTTTGAAGAAGAGATTGGACAGCCATGACTCTTGCTCGAGCAGGGGGTTGACTAGAAGACCTCCAAGGTCCCTCCCAACTCTGTTTATTCTGTTATTCAGCTATTCAGTTTGGCAATTTTGCAAAGGTTTCCCTTTGACGGTACCAGTGCTCAAAGGCATTAAATCGCCAACCCCAGGAACGATTGATTGATTTAATATATTTAAAATATTTATAGAGCTGCCTATCCTACAACCAACCCTCTTATAGCTATTAGGTTGGAGTTAGTTCAATGGCAAAGTTTTATTATGATTTATTTACTTATTGAATTTATATTGCAGCCTATTCGCCCATGGCTTTCCTGGTTTACAGGGAGAAATTTGCTGATTTGGAACCTGGTCACTTCAGTTAGAATAAAAGAACAGAAAAGTATTTCTCTAGAACAGTATTTCTCAACCTTATCCATTTTAAGATGCATGGACTTCAACTCCCAGAATTGCTCAGCCAGGTTGGTGGATTTCAGCTCCCAAAATTCTTCACCCATCATCTACTAAACCACCGCTTCTCAACTTTAGCAACATTAAGGTGTGTGGACTCCAAGTCCCAGAATTCCCCAGACAGCCTCTGGACCATGTTTCTCAACCTGAGCAACATTACGGTGTGTGGACTCCAACTCCCAGAATTCCCCAGCCAGATTTGTGGACTTCAACTCCCAGAATTCTGGATGGTGAAGTCCACAACTTCATAAGTTGAGAAACGCTGGTTTAGATGCATCTTCTCCATGATTGGTAGATATCCAGCTCAGAAGTCCACTTTTCAAGGCTGGTGGGTCCTAGCATCATGGACAATCAATTGAGCACTGCTTTTATTCGCGGTCACTTCCAGTGGAAATCTGTGCCATTCTCTAACTAACCAACATCTCACTTCAGTTATCGGAAGCTGGCTTGGTCTTTGTCTCCTTCCCCAAAACATCTCAGCTGCAGGCGATATCAAGCCAAGGGCTCCCGAAACTTTTCATTCAGCTGCTTTAATCTTCATGAATCCATAAAAACGGGCGTGGGGTTAACAATAATATTTGCAGCTGCGGCAGTAAAGTTTGTTGGATTTTGGCACATACCCTTGACATTTCTCCTAACAAGCTTTAATCCTAAAAACAGCTCTCGGATAAATTGCGTAAACACTCAATTTTACAGACGTGCTTTTGCTTTTAAACCTAAAGCAACAAATAAGTGCCCCACCAGAATCAGACAGATTCAAGTTTTGGGGTTTTTTTAGCGGTATTTTTTTATAGGTTGGGAGGGGAAAAAAACAATAGTTTGTCTGTTTTAACGTTCGGCATTAAAAATAAGTGGAACTTCCCTCGTGATTGTTGAGGCCACCATCTTAACTTTTTTGACCATCATGTGGTTACAAGAAGTCTATTTGCTTGATTGCTAAAATTAATGCTAATATTTCCTTGCCCGTATTTGGTATTTTGCTTCAGGTTTTTATATTTTGGATAGTTGGAAGAGAATTGCCCCCAAAAAAGAGAATCTGGAAGAATTAGAAGAGGTCTGCAAATCACTTTTCTTCCTTCTATTATACAGCTAGTCCTCGATTTACAATCACTTAGCAACCACTTAGCAAGTTGCGACAGACCTCGCTCCCCAAAAAAGGCTACCTACAACCTGGTTCCACACTTAACTATGGATTCACTTAACAATCCCTACAAAAAAAAATTGTAAAGATCATCCACTTCACAACTGTTATGATTTCCGACTGTAATTGCTAGGTTCAGTTATGGTCATAAGCAGGGGTGGGATTCAAATTTCTTAACCTGGTCTGTGGGCGTGGCCTAATTTGTGGGTGTGGCTTGGTGGTCATGTGACTGGGTGGGCATGGCTTGCTGACTGGGCATGGCTTGGTGGTCATGTGACTGACTGGGCATGGCTTGTATGCAAATATTATAAATATTTATGTAAATATTGAATTTTTTTATAAAAAAGAGCAACTTTTACCCAAAACCAGGCAAAGCAGGCAGGCAGATTGAGTTGCTCACAGAATCACAGATTCACTTAGAGATCTATAATTCTGCAATCTGCTACCTGAGTCTGTCACATAAAATTTGCTTGCAAGCAAACTCACAAAATTAACTCACAACACACCATGTATGTAAATATTGAATTTTTTTATTAAAAAAGAGCAATTTTTACCCAAAAGCAGGCAAAGCAGGCAGGCAGATTGAGTTGCTCACAGAATCACAGATTCACTTAGAGATCTATCTATCTGCAATCGGCTGCCTGAGTCTGCACTGAAAAACAGAAGCTTCAGTCCTAAGGAAGGTTCAGCTCTGCTTTTAGATTAGCTAGAAAGCAAGAAATCCATTTCCTGCTTTCTACCTAATCTAAATCTCCTGGCACAACAGAACAGCTGATGGCCGGGGGTGGGGAGGAAAAAGGAAAAATAGCAACTTACGAAACGCAGGCAAGTTTGATGGCCCGCATGCCAGGTAAGGAGTGAGTGTGGGTGGGGAGGGAAGGGGCCAGCCAGTGGCGCGATTTGCCAGTTCTCCGAACTGGGCAGAATCATAACAAATCCCACCACTGGTCGTAAGTCAAGGACTACCTGTAAAGATTTCACGAATGACATGGGAAACCATTACCCACACTCGGATAGATAACACTGCAGAAGAGATAAAAGGAGATAAAATTACTCCACCTGTGCTCTAATAGCGATAGCACTTAAGACTTATATACCGCTTCACAGTGCTTTACGGCCCTCTCTAAGTGGTTTACAGAGTCAGCCTATGGCCCCCAACAATCTGGGTCAGTGGTTAGGGTGCAGTACTGCGGGCTACTTCTGCTGATTGAGGGCTCCCTGCAATTGGGTAGATCGAATCCCAACAGGCTCCAGGTGGACTCAGCCTTCCGTCCTTCCAAGGTGGGTAAAATGAGGACCCAGATTGTTGGGGGCCAATATGCTGACTCTGCAAACCTCTTACAGAGGGCTGTAAAGCACTATAAAGCCGTATGTAAGTTTAAGTACTATTGCTAATAAAAGGGAGGGAGAGAGAATGAGAGGGGAAAAGAAACAAGAGAGAATGAAAGAAAGGGAGGGAAAGAGGGAGAGGGAATGAGAGGCAGAGAGAGTATGAGAGAGATAGAAGTGGGGGGAGAGGGGGGAATGAGAGAGAGAGAGACAGAAAGAGAACGAGAGAGAGAGAGAGAGAGAGACAGAGACAGAGACAGAGACAGAGAGAGAATGAAAAGGTGGAAAGCAACTATTTGGAGACAACAAACAAAAGACATAAGCCTTTTTTAAAAAAAATTCCAAAACTAGATTTCAGCTCTTACTTTGCTGCATTACAAGAAAGCTGAAAAATGACCTCAGTAGGATGGAAGGCTGAGTAAATCTTGAACCGGTCAGAATCGAACTGCTGAACTGTTGGCAGCCGGCAGTCAGCAGAAGTCGCCTGCAAGCACTGCGCCACCGCAGCTCTTAAGCTATTCCTACCTGTGACTGTCTAACCCATAATATGCCACATACTGGTCGTCCTCAACGTACGACCCCAATTGAGCCCAAATTTTGCGATTTGCTAGGCAGGGCCGTCGTTAAGTGCACTTCTCCCCCTTTATTGGCCTTCCTTGTCACGGTTGTTAAGTGAATCACTGCAGCTGTTAAGTCAGTCGGTTTTGTCAAGCGAATCCGGCTTCCCCATTGATTCTGCTTGTCAGAAGGTCGCAAAAAAGGAGATCCCATGACCCTGGGACGCTGCGACCGTCATAAATGCGAGCAGTGGTGGGATTCAAATAATTTAACAACCGCTTCTCTGCCCTAACGATTTCTTCCAACAACCGGTTCACCGAAAGGCTCAGAAAGTTAACAACCGGTTCCCACTGAATACGAGTCAGTTGCCAAGCGTCTGAATTTTGAACATGGGGACCACGGGGATATTTGCCAGGGTCGTAAGTGTGAAAAATGACCACGGTCATTTTTTTTTCCCCAGGGCCGCTGTAATTTCGAACAGTCCCTAAATGGACCGTTGTAAGCCGAGGATTGCCTGCATAGTTATGTACTCACCCAACAACAGCAGCTTTAACTCCCACCGGTCCCGTTTCTTTTGTTCTTGAAGTAGCCGGCTGATTTCTTTATCGATCATCATGGCATTTTTTTCGTCCTCGGACATGAAGCACAGGCACCACACCATGGTGCTTCCCGAACCGCTCCAGGTTTCCCCCAAAAATCAGAGGGGTGGGGGGGACTCAGAAAAATCAGGATTTGAAACAGGCGTGCTGGCAGGGTCCTTCCACCAGCCTGAACGGAGGAGCACCGATCTCTGGGGAAGCGGCCGTCCGTCCAGCAGAAACTGCTTGGAGATCAAATTTCAAGCATGAGACAAAAAAATTTGGCAGAGACCCCACCGATGCCAGCAATGTGGGCTGGGCTGGCTTAGTTTCACCCTCCCAACATTCATGGGAAGCTCCTTGACCGAGCAACTGACGTGGTCATGAACGGTCAAGCCCTAGTAAGGCCACACCGGGAATAACTGCAACCAAGTTTGGTCACCACACTACAAAAAAAAGGATGTTGAGACTTTGGAGGGAAACAGCAACTAAGACGATTAAAGGCCCAGAGACTAAAACATAGGAAGAACAGTGGCAGGATTTAGGTTGGACTAGTCTAGAGAAAAGAAGGACTAGGGGAGACATGAGAGCAGTCTTCCAGGATTTGAGGGGCT